AGTCAGCAATGCGTTCCACCGTCACTCCCAGCCGGTCCGCCACCACGGGATCCACCGTCAACTGCGCCTTCTGCCCTCCCCCCTCGCCACCCTCCTCCTTCTCACTTCCCTCCACTCCCCTCTACTCCTCCCTCCCCTCCCTCTACCCCCCCCTCTCTTCCCCTCTTCTCTCTCCCCCGCACCCTCTCCTCCACCCTCCGTCTCATCCTTCTCCACCCCTCCGCTCCCCCCACTCCCTCCACTCCCCTTCTCACTCCCGCTCCTCCTCCTCCCCTCCCTTCCCTCTCTCCCCCCTCCCCCCCCTTCCCCCTCATCCTCGTCATCATGCCCGAGGATCCACGCCCACACCTGCTCAGCAGTGGGGTTCTTCCCATTGAAGCTCTTCCTCTGCATGTACGCCTGCAGAATGCTCTGCCTCTGATCCGCCGCCTGGCTGCTGCTGCCGCTGATGCCACCAATGCTCGTGCTCGTGTTCATGCCTCCACCTGCACTCCCTTCCAATCCTTTCCCTGCTCCCCCTCCTTCTCCTCCTGTTCCTCGCTCCATGCTTCCCTTCCCATCCCCACCGCTCTCCTCCCCATCTGGACCCCCAGACTCCCCTCCTCCTCTGCCTTCCCCTGTTCGGCCTGCTGCTCTACTCTCTCCCATGCCTCTCGGCGTGCTCGGACCCTCAACCTCCTCTTGTGCCCCCCCCACCGCTGCTCCTGTATCTAACTCCACTCCTACTGCCATTCCTGCTGCTCCTGCTGCCCCCATAAAACCTGCAGCAGCAGCAGCTGTTGATGGAGATGGCACTGCTGCTGCCCCTGTTCCTCTCTTCCCCCATCCTCCCCTCTCTTACACCTTCCAGCCTAGCTGCCCCTCGGCTGTCCTGTCCGCCCCTCTTCCCTCCCTCCGTCTCTCCGCCCTCTCCTCCCTCTCCCTCCGCCCGCCCCTCGCCTCCACTGTACCACACGCGCAGTGACGCCTCCCCTGGTGCCGCCCTCCCCCCACGCTGCGGGTGATGGCACACCCAGCAGCCACAGGGGCAGGGTCAGCATCGCCAGTGCTCCCACCGTCACCAGTATCATCGTCGTCAACAGTAGCAGCAGCAGCAGCAGCGGCCAGCAGCAGGCAGCAGCAAGCAGCAGCAGCACTACCACACCACCCCAATAACACTTACGTGGTCTGAAAGCACATCCAGCACATCACCCCCCCCTCCCTCTCCCTCTCCTCCACAATATCCCCGCCTCCCCAAAGCTCCGCCTCTCCTACTCCCCAGCCCACTCTCCCTCCCCTCCTGCCCCTGCAACCGGCCACTACCATACGCCCTCCTAACGGCTCTACTGCCTCCACAGAGCTCGCAACGGGCGAAGGGGCCGTAACTGTGATTCCCGCGAAGTCAACGAGAAGTCATCCCAGCACTACGGGAGCGACGAGAGGAGGACGAGGAGCCAGCGCTGTCGGGCCGGTGGGTGAGGAGGGAGGAGGAGGGCGGGAGGAGGGCGGAGGAGGGGAGGGGGATGCAGCTGCAGATGAGGTGCTGAGGGGGGGAGTGGAGGCGTGCGAACGGGCAGAAGAAGAGGCAGGGCCAGAAGCACCGGAACCGGTTAAACCAGCAGCGTGCCCAGCAGGGAAAGGCCCAGGGGGAGGGGTTGGGTGGGTGGTCGAAGCAGGGAGGTTGGTGCTGGCGCTAGCAGCCAAGCCCTTGCCGCCCAGCAGCTCGTCCAGTGACGTGCTCCCCCAATCCGCACTCAGCACCTTCCGCAGCCTTCTCCTTGTGCCTACCCTCCCTCCCCCTCCCCCCACTCCTCCTCCCCCTCCGCCTCCTATCCCTCCCCCTCATGCCCCTCTCCCACAAGCTTTCCCCCAATCTTCCCTCCAGCCAACACTCCCCCCCCTCCCCCGTCTCCCTGTCCCCCTCCCCCTGCCCCACTCCTCCCCCTCCACCTCCCCCTCCCCCTCCCCCTCCCCCTCCCCCGAAGCTATCTGACGCGCCCAGGTACCCAATCAGCTTCTTATGCGCCTTTTTCATCCCCCTCACCCACGCCGCGCCCGCTCCCCTTCCCCCGCTCCCCTGTGCGCCCCCTGCGCCGCCCCCACCCCTTGCGCCACACCCACTCCCCCAAAATCCCCCGCTGGTGGCCGCCCTCTTTCCCCAGCCTCCTCCCCCCCACTCCCCATCCACCCCTCCTCCCACTCCACCCTCCCTCCCCTCCCACGCACTCACTCCCTCCCCTAACCCCTCCTCCACCCCTCCTCCTCCCCCCGCTCCCCTCCTTCCCCTCCCTGCCCCGTCACCCCACCTCCGCCACCCACCCCCCCATCACTCACAGCATGCCACCTGTCCGCCCCGGCTCCTGCATACATGGGCGAGCCAGCTTCCCCATCCCCCCTGTTGCAGGCAAACTGCTACTGAAGCTCTTCGCAAGTGGCACATCCAGAGCCTTATGGGAGTCTGAGTACCGGTGGTGGTCCTGTGGCCGGTGGTAGAGGGCAGTGGACGAGGACGGGTGGGAGGACGAGCTTGAAAGTCCTAAAGGGCCAGAAGGGCCGGAAGCACCGGTAGGGCTATCTACAGAGGAGCTAGAGGCGAGCAGCACTGACTTGCTCTCCTTCTTCTTGATGTCCTTCACCACTCCCTGCAGCAGCCTCGTCCACCGCACCTTCTGCTGCTTCCGCTTCTCCCCCCCCTCGTGATCCCCCCCCTCCTCCACCCCACTGCCCTCCCCCGCGTCTTCCCCCAACGCCAACTCCCCCAGCAGCCCCCCACCTCTCCCGTACAACTCATACCCCCTCCGCCATCCCCTCCCCTCACGCCGCCCTCACTCTCTCTCCACCCCTCCATGAGTCCCTCCCCGCCCCACCCCCGGCCTGCCTCTCTGCTCTCTTCTCCCTCCCCCCCGTCCCTCCTCTCCCTCCGCGCCCCCCTCTCTGGCTGCGCACTCATCGACCGAGAGAAACTCCGAGCCTCCGCCCTCCTCCTGTTCCTCGCGCCCTCCCCACTCGCCTCCTTCCCCCTCTCCCCATCCCCCAGCCTTCTTCCTGATTCCTGCCCGCCTGCCCCAGAGGTAGCAACCTCCGCCCCTGGAAACGCTTCTTCTCCCCCATGTGCCCCTGCCCCTGCCCCTGCCCCTGCTCCCCCTGCCCCTGCTGCTGCCGCTGCGGCTGCTACTGCGGCTGCTGCAACACCCGCTGCTGCTATTCCTCCTGCCGTCCCCCCTTCAGCCGCACTAACCCCAGGCGCCGCTCCCCCTGCAGCTGCTCCGCTGCTCACTGTACCTCCCCCCGCTACCCCTGCGCTTCCCCCTCCTGCTCCCCCTGCCCCCCCTGCCCCGCCCCCCCCTGGCATGGCGTCCTGTGCTCTCAGCTTATCAAGCTTGTCCACCCGCCTCTGCCTCTCCCGCGCCCATTTCGCCCTCATTTCTTCCATCCCCTCCCCTGGCTCTGCTTGCGCCCCCCCTGCCCCCCTCCCCCTCCGCCCTTGCTCCCCTTACCCACCTCAGCTGCGCCCCCCCCAGCCTTCCTCTGATGCTCCTCGCTCCGTCGTCTGCTTTCGGCCCTTCTCCTCTCCCTCGCCTCCCTCTCCCCCACCCCTTCGTCTTTAACAGCTCTCTTTCCCCTTGGACTATCCCTAACCCCTATCTCCCCCTCCACGCCCTCCCCCTTCTCTCCGCCACCCCCTCGCCGTCCCTCCCCCTCTCCCCGCTCTCCCCCCTCCTCCTCCTCCTCTTCCTCCTCGTCAGTATCCCTCACCCCCTCCTGCCCCTCACCCTCCCCGTCCCCCTCCTCCCCTTCCTCCTCCAAATCCTCCTCGTCCTCCTCCTCCCCCCCGGCCGCACAAACAGCCCCCTGGGGTCATCTAGGTCAAACACATCAACGTCACAACTAAAAGAGAAGGAAGAGAAGGAGCTAAGCCTAGGCCCGCCCTCCTCTATCAACTGGTCTAGCCTAAGCTGAGTAGAGCTTCCAGCAGACCCTCTCTCAGAGTATTGTCTTGAGGGGTAGCGCAAGTCACTGCTGCCCCCACTTGCTGAACTCCTAGCCCCTGCTCCCCCTAGCACGCTCCGATCAGGGGGGGTGTTGCTTCTGCTGCTGCTCCCGCCCCCCCCTCTCCCCCGCCCGCCACTTCCCCCTGCCCCCCCGCTAGGAGACGTGGTGGCAGGGGACGGGTTGTTGACGCTGCTGCTTCCGGGGGTATTTCCTGAGTTTCCCGGGGTGTTTCCAGGGTGGATGATGCGCACGTCCATGATGCGGGTTCCCACAGCGAAGGCCAGGTGGCCCGAGCCCACGTTTCTGTGCATCTGTTGACACTGCAGCAGCAGCTGCTGGTAGCGCTCCCTGCAATGCAAGGAAGGGAAGCAGGGTGGGGGGGAAGAAGCATAAAAGGGGGGGGAAGAAGCATAAAGGGGGGGGGAAGAGCCGGAGGGGGGAGCGGGAACCGCCTGGCCCGAGCCCACGTTGCCGTGCATCTACTGGCACTGCAGCAGCAGCTGCTGCTGGTAGCGCTCCCTGCAGGGAGGGGGGCAGTGTGGAGGGAAGCGGGAACAGTGAAGGCCAGGTGGCCCGAGCCCACGTTGCTGTTGATCTGCTGGCACTGCAGCAGCTGCTGCTGGTAGCGCTCCCTGCAATGCAAGGAAGGGGGGAGAAAAGGGACGAGGGTGCGAGGGGGGGGGGAGCGAAGGGGGAGGGTGTGCGAGGGGGGAGGGGTGCGAGGGGGGCGGGGGTGCCAGGGGGGAGAAAGGTGTCGATTGGTGCGAGCCCACGTTGCCACGCCTCTGCTGGCATGGCAGCAGCAGCTGCTGGTACCTCCCCCCATCACCTCCCCCCTTCCCGCTCCCCCCATCTCCCGCACGTAGTTCCTCTCCTCCTGGCCTCCCGCACGTAGTTCCTCTCCTCGGCGGTGGACTCCAGGGAGAAGCACTTGGCGGCACATAACTCGCATTCCCCCTATCCTTTCCGCCTAACCTTTCCCGTAGGCTCAAGCAAAGCTCACCTCCTGGCCTCCCGCACGTAGTTCCTCTCCTCGGCGGTGGACTCCAGGGAGAAGCACTTCGGCGGTTCCACAACTCCCCCCTTCCCGCTAAGCCCTCCCCCTAGCTTTCCCCCTAGCCTTAAGCAAAGCACTTACCTCCTGGCTTCGCGCACGTAGTTCCTCTCCTCCGCAGTGGACTCCAGCGAGAAGCAGCCCAGGAGGAACTCCCATACCTCGCCCCGGATCGACTTGTCCACTCCCTGGGCGCACACAGAGGCGAGGGGCACGGGGAGAAGGGATTGAGTGGGGCACGGGCAGAAGAGATTGAGTGGGGCACGGGGAAAAGGAATTGAGTGGGGCAATGTGGTGGCTGCGAGTACGAGAAGCACCCCAGGAGGAACTCCCACACCTCGCCCGCCCCCGATCGACTTGTCCACGCCCTGCCATGCCATCCCAGACAGGCAAGATTGGGAAACCCAAGGTATGGTGGTGAGTGCGAGTTAGAGAAGCAGCCTATGGGAGGATATCCCACACCTCACCCGCCCCGGATCGACTTGTCCACGCCCTGCACGCCTGAGAGAACAAGGCAAGCAGGAGGAGAGATTGAGCATGCGTAGATGATGCCATGGATAGGTTAGGCGGCGAACAAAGCACAGGCCTTCAGGCAGGGACGTGAAACGATGTGGTGAGTGCGAAACGATTTAAGAGGAGGAGCCAACAGGCCTTCCAGTTCGGAAATGGAGGTTAGTATGGGAATCTTCAGCCAACGCATGTCAATGCATTGAAGCAAAACCGGAGCTGGAACAGGTGCGGAAGCATGGGAGAGTAACCCGCTGAGGAAAGGCGACGGAATCTCAAGCAGAAAGTTGTTTTCAGTGCAGTGTGTGCATTCGCGTTACAAGGCTGCTAGCCGTCTCGCCCCTTCCAGAATCGCCTTAAGCACTTGTGGCATTCTGAATCCCCCCCCTCCCACCCACCCCGCCAACTCACCCCTTCCAAAATCGCCTTGAGCACTTGGGGCATGCGCACCAGACGCCCCTCCGAGTCAAACGCGCTCTTCCACATGCGCGGCTTCAGGCGCTTCGCGCGCCCCATCTGACAGGGAGGAGGGAGGGAGGGGGGGGAAGGGGCGGCAGGGGAGGGGGGGGGAAGGAAGGGGACGGAAACGGAGGTGCAGTTGAGAAAGGGGCCTTCTTTTCCACATGCGCGGCTCCAGGTGCTTCGCCCGCCTCATCTGACGCAGGGGGGGTGGTGTGGGCGAAAGGGAGGAGGGGGGGAGCAGAAGGGAACGCAAGGGAGTAGATAATGTGACGAGAAGGAGATTGGATTACGAACGGCCACGGGCGTAATGAGCGGCAACGTGAAACGCGCGGGACGAAATGAAAGCGCGCGGAGAATTTCAGAACGAGACATTGGAAAAAAGGATGTCCGTTTTTTGCCTCCGTACCAAAAAAAAAATCAACAAAATGACAACAGCGTGAATCTCCGGGTCCTGTGGAGTCTTTTTTTTTAATAGATTTTTTAGATTATTTATTTATTTATTTATTTATTTATTTATTTTTAGAACAGCGTGAGGCTCCGGATCCTTGGCCGCATTGCGCGCCGAAGAGGGACGGCGAGATGGCGGAATGTGCGCGGAAATGAGACGCTTAAAGGGAAACGAGCAAGTGAACCTATACAGCAATGTGGTGGACGCTCCATCGTTTCTACGGGTATTAAGTGAAAGGCTAAAACCGAACAATCCGGAACAGTCTCGTTACTAGCGAGTGTGACGCGAACAGCAAGTAACGAACTTGACTTTCGAGTCGACTCAAAAGTTACAACGGGAATCAAGTGAAAGGCTGAAACCGGACGATCCTGAGGGCCTTTTCGAGTGTGTCGGAACAGGAAGCAGCGACCATGGGACGTCAAGGCAGACAGTGGGTTCCTGGCATGAGCCTAAGTCGCGTCGCAAAAGGGCTGTCAGGGGTTCGACTTACAAACCTGCGACGGCCAGGCGGACGGCGGACCTGCCGTCTGACTAGTCCCAAAAGGGCTGTGACGATCTAAGACCGACGAACCTGCGACGCCCACGCGGACGGCCGGTTCCTGGCGTCGGCGGATATCCAGCTGCCGTCCTTTATTCGCGGCGGACCCTCGGGGCGACTCGGACCCCCCCGTGACTCGCCCGCTCCGCCCTGCCGGAAAGCCATCGGAGACTAACCGGCTGGACTAGACGGAGGCTGGAATAACCGGCTGGGCTAACCTGCTGGACTAATCGGCCGAAGGGACATAGATAAGAAGAATGCGGGTGCTTGCACTTTCGAAATTTACAAGCACGATCGGTGCATGAATCGCATTGCGAGGACGGAGAAAAAGCAGCCTCCAATGAGGCCTAACCTAGAACCATTAGACCTGTGCGAATAGGCTTCAGCAGAGGAAGCACCCCTTGTGCAGGGGAAAGGAAAGCAGCTAATATCTAGGGGCTTGCCTTTCTGTTGAATAGAATCAAGGGGAGAGAAGAACGCCAGGGGAAAGTAGGGTGGTGGGTGGGAAGTAACGGCAATCCCGAGGGACATGGATGAAGCGACAAGCTGATGAGAGGGGAGGAGTGGGGGGACCAGTGGTGCCTTGAGATTGCCGACAAATTGCCGCGAGCTTCGGCGAATTCAGCAGCTCGGCGAACGGTGTGCTCGGTAACATGTCAATTGTTACGATGAACGAGAACTGTAAGGAATTTTCCATTCCTTACCGAGCGGTACTGCTATCGCGTACGCTCAAACACACCCGAAGCCTCGAGACTGTTCCAGACCTCCTGACAGAACCGCCTCGGCTTCTCCAGACCTGCTAGTTCGACCTTCGGGAGTTCTCCAGGCCTCGCTTCGTTCCTCCGAGACCCTTCGATCTCTTTCCCGAACCTCACCATCGCATGGTTAGACTAGCTCTGGTGTTCCTATATCTTGGCTTGCCATTCCTTGTATCGTCATTCATTTTGAGTGAACACTTCGTTATTCATTTCCACGCTACTCTGCTTGTTCATTCATAACACCTGGTAATCCGAGCCACTTTCCTCGCTCACCCGTTTTCGTGAGTTGATTTATTTTTTTTTTTTTGGTAAGTCCCTCACGTAAGCTGCAAAGCGGTTGCTCGCGAATTAGACTGATTAATTCGCCCAACTACGATAGCGTTTGCGCTTACCTGAGTACAGGCACATTACGGATTTCCCCCTGCCCCGGCGGAGCATTCGCCAAATGGACCAAGCTCAGTTCAACGAGCTTCGGGAGCAGTTCAACGCCATGAACGCGCGCATGGCTACAGTACTCGAGGACAACGAGCGACTTCGTGCGGAAGTTGCTGAGTTACGCCAGGTGCGAGAGGATTCGCGTCAGAAATCTGCCGCCCAAGAGGAGGTCGCCAGCACCGGACGTGTCGAAACCGTCTTGGACGAAATCGCACGTGAGGTGCCACAGGAGCGCAAGGACAATGAAGCCGCCGCAGCAGCTGACGTGGCAGCACGAGCAGCAGCCGAAGCAGCAGCAGCAGCCGCTCGGTCAGAAGCAGCCGCTACTGTAGCCGCACCGGCGATTATGCCGATCGTGACGACAACGACGATCAAACCGACAATGCCGCCCCCGTTCAACCCCGCAGATAAGAATACTACTGTTACGGGCTGGTTATTTTCGGCGGAACTTTACTTTAATGCCGCTGGGATCACTGCTGATGAGCTAAAAATTCGACTGGCTGTATCACTACTGCGGGACCTACGCTAGATTGGTGGCGATATACTCTACAGAGGGGGAGTTTTCGGCAGGTGACACACAGGGGTTTTTCGGAAACTTTGGGTCTGCTGCCCAAGGGTCAATCGCGATTTTTGGATCGACCAAGATTCGCACGTGGTAGGCGTGGGGTACAGCTCTGCGTGAACGCTTCGAGCCAATATCCGCCTTGGATAACGCACGCACGAAGCTGGACAACTGGCGCCAGTGGAATTCTGTCCAGGATTACGCGTCGGTCTTCATGGCGTTATGCGATCAAATCACCGACATGCATGACTCCGAGAAGAAAGCTCGATTCATTTCGGGTTTGAAGCAGGACATTAAATGCGAGGTCCGACAGCGACTTCCGGCGACGTTTCACAAAGCAGTCCGGATCGCAGACACTTTCGACGCACATCGGACGTATGCGAGAGCGGGTTCCCAGGAGGGAAATCGTTTCGTGGCCAAATCCACGGCCCATGATTCATGGAGTAGTGGCGAAGGAGCACATGGAAGACTTTCGCAAATGACAATGTTTCAACTGCCACCAGCCGGGTCACCAATCTCACGATTGCCCCCGAAAGAAGCAGATAACGACGAAGGCGGGTCGGGAAATGCCAAGCGTCAGTAGCGGTCGGGCCCCCTACTGACCCTGCCTCATCGCCCGAAAAACACCATCCCCACCGAGTAGTGGTTCCGATACATGCTATCAACCGCTCCCGGCTGAATAAGGGGGATGATCCAGTGGACCACCCTGTACTGGCGGAAGGACGACTCAACGGAAGGAAAATAAAAATATTCATCGACGGAGGTGCGAGTCACAGCCTGATAAATCGAGAGACAGCACGGCGACTACACCTGACGCTAGAGAAGTGCCTGCCCGAAATCGACGCGCGATTGGTGGATGGCACCCCGCTGATGATACGCGACAGAGTTCCCGTCGTTCGAATGAAGTGTGGCGATGATTTTGGGTTCAGCGCGCCGATGCTGGCGACAACGCTCGACGGCTACGACGTGCTATTGGGACGCGATTGGCTACGACGATTCAACCCGCAGATCGATTGGACAACATGCGAGTGCACAGTGAAGTGCAACAAAGGCTGGCGAAAACTACCCACGTGGCCGGAAGCGGAGACAACATCGATACGCGTCAACGCAGTGTGCCTCAAATGAGCGGTCAAGAATGGAGCGGATTTATACGCCGTCCATCTAACCGAATCGACGGAGCAGAACGAGGCGACCGTCATCACCAAACTCTGCGCTTCGGTCCCGGATGACTTGGCGAAAATCATTCGGGAATATCCTGAGATTTTCCCCGACGATTTGCCAAGCGGCCTGCCACCCCGAACGACCCTAGGACCACAAAATCGAGCTGGAGCCCGGCGCGCAGCCTACTGTACGCACACAATGGCGCCTGACTCAACCGGAGCTACAGGAGTTACGAAACCAGCTGGACTACCTGCTGGCGAAAGGGTTCATTCGACCGAGCACATCACCATTCGCAGCACCAATCCTGTTCACGCCAAAAAAGGACGGCGGCCTTCGCATGTGTACGGATTATCGAGCCCTTAATCGGGTAACGATAAAGTCGCGCTACCCAATACCACGCACGGACGAACTGATCGACAACCTTCGCGGAGCTCGCTATTTTTCGAAGTTAGATCTTCGCGGCGGTTACCATCAAATTCGGGTGTTCGCTGACGATTGCCACAAGACCGCGTTTCGTACTCGCTACGGGAGTTACGAATACACGGTTATGCCGTTTGGATTAACGAATGCCTCCTCGACATTTCAACTCACAATGAATGGGGTATTCCGCGATCTACTCGACAAATGCGTGATAATTTACCTGGACGACATCCTAATCTACAGCAAGACCCGGGAGCAACATTTGAAGGATTTGGAAGTATTTTTTCAGCGGTTGCAGCGGCATCGTCTCATTACCAAGGGCTCCAAGTGCGAGTTTTTAAAACAAGAAATGGAGTTCCTAGGGCACGTGATCTCCACGGAGGGGATTCGAATAGACCCGAAAAAGCTCCGGGCTATTCAGGAGTGGAAACCGCCAACAAATTTGCAGCAGCTGCAATCATTTTTGGGTTTCGTGAATTACGTGCGGTGGTTTATACCCAACATGGCGGGGTTAACTGGACCTCTAACCGACCTACTACAGAAGGGGACTTTGTACGAGTGGGGGGAGAAGCAGCAAGTTGTGTTCGAGGCATTAAAAAACCTTTTAATGTCCCCACCGGTACTTCGCATCGCTGACCCGGAAAGGCCCTTCGAATTCATCACCGACGCAAGTGACATCGCCATCGGAGCAGTGCTCATGCAGGATTTCGGCAACGGGCTTCAACCAATCGCGTACGAGTCTCGGAAAATGCAATCTGCGGAGCGCAACTACCCAGTACACGACAAGGAGATGTTGGCGATCGTCCACGCGTTCAAAATCTGGAGGTGCTACCTGACTGGAGCAGACATGACGGTGCGAACCGACCACAAATCTCTACAGTACCTGAGAGCGCAGCCGATTCTCAACCCGCGGCAGATACGCTGGCTGGACTATCTGGAGTCCAATTTCACGTACAAGATCACGTATAAAAAAGGCGCCAACAATATTGCTGACGCTCTTTCCAGACCATCTGCCCAGCTCGCAGCCGTACTCGTCGCCCAGAGCAACCCGCTACTGAGTGGACTATTTACCCACGGGTATTCAACTGACCCCTTCTTCGTAAACGACGGCCATCTCCCAATTACTACACGGAAAGGCGTCTATTACTTACGAAGCAGGACTGATCGAATTTGGGTCCCAAGTTATCGTTTACTTCGCGAATTACTAATTCAAGAAGTCCACGATTCGAATTTATCGGGACATTTCGGGGTTGATAAAACTCTGAAGGCGTTGCAGCGGTTTTATTACTGGCCAGATATGGTGACGGACGTGCAGCGTTACGTGACCGCGTGTCCGATCTGCCAGCGAATGAAGGCATCACACCAGCGACCTACAGGATTATTGCAGCCCCTCGGGCCACCTCAACGCCCATGGCAACACGTAACGATGGATTTCGTTACGGGACTACCGGCCGGACCCAGCGGAAACGACGCAGTTTTGGTTGTTGTCGACCGATTGACGAAAATGGCGCATTTCGCACCATGTCGTACAACCATCACAGCCGAAGAAACAGCACGCCTGTTCATCTCGACCGTTGTTCGTCTACACGGGATACCAGCAGCAATCATTAGTGATCGAGATCCGAAGTTCACGTCAAAATTCTGGCAAGACACGTGGGCTCGGTACGGCACGCGTCTACAGTTCTCCTCCGCTTATCATCCCCAAACGGACGGCCAGACGGAAAGGACAAATCAAACGATGGAGCAGCTCATTCGGACAAACTGCCCCGACCGGAAAAAATGGGAGGACGTGCTGCCCATGTTGGAATTTTCCTACAACAACGCGCCCTCGGCTACGACTAATCACTCCCCGTTTTATCTCAATTATGGATGGACCCTACCGTGCCGATTTCCACCAATGTTGAGAGTCAAGTACCACGATCGCAGCAGTTCGTCGAAGAACTACAGACTGCCCGAGACAAAGCTGTCGAACTTATTCGCAAGGCAAACGCTACTGCCCGACGGTATGCGGATTTACATCGACGGGATATTACAATGGCAACAGGGCAACTAGTCCTTTTGGACAACAAGAATTTACGCCTGCCACTACCGACGAAATTACGACCACGTTTCTGTG